AGTTACCCTCTATCTCCCACACCATTGACCAACCATTGATCTCTCCTGGCCTGTTTTCCCTGGCCTTGGATATAAGTTTCATAGTTTTTTTTGGTTTGTTTTATATCCCACAAATTAATGCAGTCATTCTGTATTTGTCCTTCTCCTTCTGACTCATTTCACTCAGCATGATACTCTCCAAGTCTATCCATTTATAGGCAAATTTCATGACCTCATTTTTTTTAACAGCTGTGTAGTGTTCCACTGTATAGATGTACACTGTCCTCCCGTTGTTCATCGATTTGCTCGAGTGGGCCCAATAACGTCTCCATTTTGAGACTTGTTGTTACTGTGTTTGGCATATTGAATACATCACGGGTAGCTTGCCAGGCTTTGCCATGAGGGCAAGATACTCTCAGTAGCTTGCCAGGCTCTCCAAGAGGGGCGGAGGAATCGAACCCGGCTTGGCCGGACTGGCCGCATGCAAGAAAAATGCCCTACTGCTGTGCTATCACTCCAGCCCTATAGTTTCTTAATCCATATGTCTTTTCTGGGGCACTCAGGTTGTTTCCAGACTCTGGCTATTGTGAATAGTGCTGCAATGAACATAGAAGTGTGTGTTTTTCTGTGTGTGTTTTTTGGACCCTCCCGGATATATACCAAGAAGTGGTAATGCTGGCTTAAAATGGGAGCTCAATTTCTAGTTTTCTGAGGAATGTTCATATTGTTCTCCAAACAGGCTGGACCAGCCAGCATTCCCACCAGCAATGAATGAGGGTCCTTCTGCCCGCATCCGTACCAGCACTGGTTGTTCCTATTCATTTGTGTGTGTGCCAGTCTCTATGAATAGCCTATTTTTAAAAAGAATAAAGTTCCCCAAGTCTCACATCAGACCAACTGAGTCAGTCAGAGTCCCAAAGGAGCCAAAGCAATAGTACAGTGGGTAGGACATTTGCCTTGCATGTGGCTATCCTGGGTTTGATCCCCAGCACCCCATATGGTCCCCCATGTACCGCCAGGATTAATTCCTCAGTGCAGAGCCAGGAGTAACACCTGAGCATTGCCGGGTGTGAGCCCCTTTTCCCCAAACAAACAAAAAACCCAAACAGAATCCCAAAGGTTTATGATTCAAGGAACATGTTTCTGGCCACACACAGCTATACTCCTGGCTCTGCACTCAGGGGTTGATCACTCCTGGCAGTGCTTGTGCAGGGGAACCATATGGAGTACTAGGGATTAAACTGGAGTTGGCCACATACAAGGAGAGCATCTTAACCTCTGTACTATCTCTCTAGCCTGGGAATATGGGTTTTAAAAAATTTATTTTTGGCAAGATCCTGAACTATTCACGGAGATGAGAAAGGAAAAGAGAAAAAACGGGGAAGAGATTGAACAAAAATGGACAGTGACTGATATTCCTGATACCAATCCCCAGAGACTCAGATGAAGAGAGCTAGTGACACTCCTGCAATCTACATAAAAACCCTCCTACGGTGAGTCTGATCTATGTATCTAGGAGAAAGAAGGGGGTAACCTGAAGGTGGGAAAAGCTGGGCACACAATATTTTTGATACATGAATAAAACTTTTAAATGTTAAAAAAAATCCATAAAATTGAAGACTCTGAATAGAATAGTTGGGCAAGGGAAAAATGACTAGTGGAAAGGACTCTTCCTCCTGTGCTCAGCAACATCTGGAGAAGAGAGCCCTGCTATGCAGCTCATGAAATCAAGTAGGGACACATTCTTAACTGTGATTTTATCAAAACAAGCCAAGAGGCAAGTTATTTTGGAGGATTTTGCTTCAAAAACAGCTTAGGTAGTATAGCTCTAATACGCCAATTTGCAGAAAATTGTAGTTTTGAAATGATACATCACAAAACATTAATTATAAAAAGGCAAAAACAAGTGGCAGGACTTTGACATTAAAATCAGCTAATCCAATGAGTAGGGAGAACATTTTTGTTTTGGGTCACACCTGGTGCTCAGAGGATCATATTTGGTGCCAGGGATTGAATTTGAGCCTGCTGCTTGCAAGACAAGCATCCTACCTACTGTACTATCTCTGGCCTAAGAAATGGTTACTTAAAACAGTCAAAACTCTATCAGATAGGAAGTTACCTATGAAACAGCACTTTTTTTTCTTTGTATTTTAAAATTAAAATTTTTTTTTTATTAGTGGAACACCATGAGGTACACTTGTAGATTTACAAATTTTTGTGCTTGGGTTTCGATTATACAATGATCAAGTACCCATCCCTCCACCAGTGTCCATTTCCCACCACCACGGATCCCAGTATCCCTCCCACACCCATCCCCCCATCCCACCCTGCCTCTGTGGCAGGGTATTCCCTTTTGTTCTCTCTCCTTTTGGGTGTTGTGGTCTGCAAAAGAGGCATTGAGTGGCAATCATGTTCAGTCCACAGTCTACTTTCGACATGTATCTCCCCTCCTGGGAGGATCCTCCAAACACCCTTTATTTGGTGCTCCCTTCTCTATCTGAGCTGCCCTTTCCCCTAGAGTGCCCAGCTGGCCTCTAAGCCATCGAGTAAACCTCCTGGTACTGATAGTGGCTATTCTTGGGTATTAATCTCCTATTTTGTTACTTTATGTCCCCCAGATGAATGCAATCTTTTTATGTCTATCCCTCTCTTTCTGACTCATTTCGCTTAGCATGATACTTTCCTCTTGTTTGTTCATTGCAGCACTCTTTACAATAGCCAGAATCTGAAACAGCACTTTTTATTGGATACACATATAAGTGATCAAATACAGGCCTCTGTTGAGTAAAAGAAACATTTTAAATAAATATGTTTGAAAAAGCAGGTGCAGACCAGGTCTATCCCAGGCAAACCAGAATGAATGTTCCCTTCAATGGTAATAGATCTTTGGTAATTAAAATCCTAACAACAATCATACAGAACTACAATGTTTCAAAGAGGTATCGATCTTAACTCCAAATTTAGAGAGGAAAGATAGTATTAATCCAACTTTCCTTTTCTCTCCAATGTATTCTTTATGTGTAAGATCAAACAGCACTATTTTTTAAATGACAGTGCAGAACAGTAATTAATATTGATTTTGGAACTTCAGAAAGGCCAACATTAATTTGTACACCACACTGGATTCAATCTAGTCTTTACTCTGCAATTCATGCTGTGAGCAGTTTAACCAGCTCTATTTCTACTACCACGTGATAACAGGCCCAAATTTAGAAGCATTATAGAAAAATCCCTCTGCTGCCCACCCCTGCACCCACGTCCCACAATAACATACAGTGAGCTTCAGTATAAAAAAAAAAAAAAAAGGCCCTCCCGTTGATCGTCGATTTGCTCGAGCGGGCCCAGTAACGTCTCCATTGGAGACTTTGTTGTTACTGTGTCTGGCATATCGAATACTCTCGGTAGCTTGCCGGGCTCTCCGAGAGGGGCGGAGGAATCGAACTCGGGTCGGCCATGTTGGCCGCGTGTAAGGCGAACGCCCTACCCGCTGTGCTATCGCCGGAGCTTCAGTATGGAACTAGAATATTTTTTTAAAATGGAATGTTTATCATAAACAGAATTATTTTATTTTGTGGGGGTGGGAGAACCTGGTGGTGCTCAGGACTTACCCGACTCTGTGTTCAAGTCACTTCTAGCATGCTCAGGGAACTGTATGAAGTGCTGAGGATTGAACAGGGGTTGGCCCTATGCAAGGTAAGTGCACAACCTGCTGTACTACTGCTCCATCCCCTGACAGGAATATTTTCATTTGACTGCTAACCTGAAAGAGTTTGTAAGTGGTCACGGATGTAGGCCAGTGGTAGAGCATTTGCCCTGCATGCATGAGTTCCTGAGTTTAATCCCAGGCTAAACATGCTCTTTCTTACATTTTTTTATTCAATAAATATTTACTGGAAGGCTGATAAATGCTCTGTCCTGACAAAGCAGAACAGTCATAATCCAATAAAGACACTGTCTACATATTTAGCAATAATTGAGACTCAGGAATTTACAGCCTGATGCACATTAGAATAATTTGGGGGAACTTAAAAAAAATACTTAAAAAATCTACATTAAAAGCACTCATAAATTTTTAAGGCAATTATTTATAAAAGTTCACTAATGGAAATAATCCAAATATACATCAGTTGATGAGTGGAAAAATAAGTCCAGTGTTATTGTACATAAATGTTTTCACCAACAAGAATAAAATGCAGTTACATGTCAGAGGGATAAAAGTTGGAGACAGCATGCTATATGAAAGAAGCAATAGCACAGTGGGTAGGGTGTCTGCCTTGCACATGGCCGACCTGGGTTCGATTCCCCAGCATCCCATATGGTCCCCCGAGCACCACCAGAAATAATTCCTGAGTGCAGAACCAGTAGTAACTCCTGTGCACTGACTATTATTTTTTCTTTATTTCGTTTTGTCACACCAGTCGGTGCTCAGAGTTTAAGGTCCTGGTTCTACTTTCAGGAATCACACCTGGTGGGACTCCAGGGACCATCTGGAGTGTCAGAGATCCAACACCTGTCAGCCGCTGCTGCACTACCTCTCTTACCCCCAAATATAACAGATTGCACACTGTGTAACTTCATTCATATAAAACGTGCCAAATAGGCAATTCCATAGAGCCAGAAGCAGATGACTGGCTGTTAACATGCTTAGGGTTGTGGGATAGGAATGGAGAGTAAATGCTAATGGGTAAATTTTTAGAGTCATGAAAATGCTATAAAATTGTAACCCTCAGGAAAATGCAAATCAAAAACCAACTGAGTATCCTCTTCACTCTTCTGAGTAGGGCTATTATGAAAAAGAAGAGGCACTGAGTGTTGGCAAGAAGGTGGGGAAAGGGGAACCTGTCTGTTAATGGATTCAAAGTGAGAACCCTCAAAAAAAAAAAAAAGCAAAAAAACCAAGTGAGAACCCTCAGTTCTCAGTTCCTTGTGTGTGGTAGGAGCCGCAGTCCTGGTTTCAATCAAACTGAATAGTGACAATTGCAGGTAGCACCCCAAATTTTAACAGAAAAAAATTATTAATAACAGCCATGCGTAAAATGTTTATTACTTGAATGACAAATAATTTCATCCAACAATCTTTAACGTTTTTAAGACTGTGGTGACATTTAACTTTTTGAATTTTCACATGAAATTTTACTCCTTTTTTGTGGGCTACTTTCTAAAACCCTGATAATCTCTATTTCTTATAAAAAAAATTTATGCTCCTGATGAATTAACTGACAATATTATCAAATCATTTGAGTTCAAACAAAAGTCTATTCCTGCTAGGCCTTTCAGCCAGTTGAAAAGTATCTGAATTAAGACCAAAATATGAATTAAAATTTTTTTATCACTCTTTAAAAGTTCATGAATTATATTCTACCACCTCAGACTTAAAAATATTTAACCTCATTTCCTTATCCAAGGAGGAATGCTATACAGCCAAGCATAAGCTACATCCCTGACACCTACACGGTTTAGATTTTCTATAGAGATAATTACATTTTCTAACAAATCTAATAATGATATCATTATGCCTTATTATAAAAAATGCTCATATGTTGAAAAGTCACAATGAGAGAGACCTGAGACAGACTTTCCTCCTAGAAGGTCTTTTGGTTCCCGTTAGGGATATACCACAGCTGTGATTTTATGCTCCTATCACACAAAGATGGGTTGTGACTGGAGAGTTGTTTTGCAGAGGAATTTTAATTCTTCAGCTTTTGTTCAAACACATAGTCTCTGTTCCAATCAGGAAGACAAGTCTGTAATTCCTTCCACTGGAAATTCTTCTGTCCACTTTTGCAGGTCTTTTAGGTCATTTGTCATCCATATCTCTGTAAAACACTTTAGTTTGCTCCTGAGAGGAAAGAAAACACATTTATTTTATAAACAAAAACACTGGGGGGGAGGGAGGAGGGACTATGCACATGATCAAAAGCAGCAAACAGTTAGCGGCCGACTCCTCAGAGGAGGCGGTGTCAGAGTCAGTCTCACAGTGACGGGAGTTTTCAGTGCTGCTGCAATGACCAAGTATCAGTGCACCCAGTCTGTTGCTCAGCACCACGTCCTTCAGGGATGGCAGAGTCCAGCTCCCCACTGAGCCCTTCCAACCCAGCCAGAAGCAACATGTGCTCACAGGGTGGAAAGTAAAATTGATTCAGCAAAATGAATGTAGCTAGTGGAAGAGCAAAATGCCAGGATATTCTAAACCTATCTTCTCTGCAGAAGAGTAAGCTGGCTAGTTGTTTAGGGTGTGGAGCTGGAGCATCCGAATTCCATTCACTGCACAACTCTAACTGGCGGTGTGACCCCAGTTTCCTGGTTGTTTTTCCTACTCTTGCTTGGCCTCACTTTTCCCAACAGTAACAGGGGGATGACAACAGTAAATGGCTCACAAGGCTGTCACAAAAATTCAGTGGGTTTGTGTATGCAAAGCTAAGTATAGTAACTGCTTCCTAAACTATATGGGTTACAATCCCATATGGGGTCACTTCGGGTTTTAATATTTGTTTTAAAGTAATTTTTTTTTTTTTTTTGCTGTTTGGGTCACACCTGGTGATGCTCAGGGGTTACTCCTGGCAGTGCTCAGAGGACCATACAGGATGCTGGAAATCGAACCTGTGTCAGTCATGTTGGTTGCGTGCAAGGCAAATGCCCTACCCACTGTGCTATCGCTCCAGCCCACCTTTTCCCACCCGGCAGCAAGGTGGCCGCTGCCTCAGAGCTGATTGAAAAGCCAGGTATGAGCCAGCGGTGACGGGGCAACTGCAGTCTCATGGGAAGGGGGGGCGGTACCGGCTCGTCCTTCACGCCCTACTGAGGTCACGAGTTGCCCACCAGGAGCAGCTCTCTGGCACGGCCATAACACCAGATGCACAGAAACCAATCTCGTAATTATCTGGCTCTTTGCAGAAATCCAAAATCGCAAGGATGCTATTGTGGTCACGCAAGATTATATGATTCTCATAACCAGCTATAGAAAACAAAGTATTTCACAATGCCTTTTCAGCAATTCTGATTGTTGGGGGGAAAAATTCTAAACAATAATGGTGCATCTTTTGTCAAAATAATGAATGTAATCAATGTAGAGAAGAGTTAAGTGGAGATCATCTGCCTCACAGGCATTGAGAGGGGTGGGAGGGGGGTATATTGGGGTTTGTGGTGGTGAAAAATGAGTACTGGTGAAGTGAAAGGTGTTTGATCATTGCATGACCGAGACCTAAACCTGAAAGCTTAGTAACTTTCCCCACAATGATTCAATAAATAAATATAAGAAGAAAAATAAACAAATAAATAAAATTATGAAAAAAAGTAAGGTGGATCAATCACAAGTCAATCAGCTAATCAGTGGCTGAATAAATAGCAGTGTTCCTACATTAAAAAAAAGTAATTTTTTGTGTGATTTAGTGTCAGCAAATGTTTGAATTGACCACCTATTTTATAATCTACATGCATGGGGTCATATAAAAATTTTGTGGGCATAAATGTGCCTTGAGGAGAAAATAAGTTTTTTAAGAAGCCCTATTATAGGAGCAAAGACAAGTTAGTTTAGACAGAAAAATTTGCTACAATCTGCTAAATAAATGGCATGCAGGGAATGTGATGTAGTCCGGAGGTATAGCATATGCATAACATACAGGAGATCCTGGTTTTGATCCCTGCAAACTCACTTACCGCAATAAATGACAAGTAGATACTGATTACAGTATAACACATTTTGATTAATTTCCTGACAGAATTCTGAATTTGTGGCTTTTTTTTTTTTTTTTGCTTTTTGGGTCATACCCAGCAATGCTCACAGTCTACTCCTGACTCTGCATGCAGTTATTACTCCTGGGGACCATATGGAATGCTGGAGACTGAACCTGGGTCGGCTGCGTGCAAGGCAAATACCCTACCCACTATATTATCACCCCCAGAATTTGTATTTCAATCACTGCTACCCGACTGCAATAAAAGAAGCACTCATAAGACTTTAAATACTGACTTTTCAATAAGTTTTTGCAAAATGACTTTTTTGAGTAATAATGTGTTGGCACACATTAAAGGAGATAACCTAATTCTTTTTTAAAAAATGACTGGAAAAAAAACCAGACTAGCATCTTTTTTGTTTGTTTTTATTTTTGGTTCATAGCCAGTGACACTCAGGGGTTACTCCTGGATCTGCAGTTACTTCTGGCAGGGCTAGAGATGACCATATGGGATGCCAGGGATAGAACCCTGGTCAGCCCTACCCACTGTACTATCTTTCCAGCCCAACCAGCCTAGCATTTTAATAAAGTTTTGAATCAAAAAGGTGGGCTAAAATCACAAGAATTTTACCAAGGGCCATTTTCTTTTTACTGTAATAAAATTTTTCTGATCATCTGAAGAGATATTTAAAGGTATCTATAATGTCTGTTTACAAGACATTCATCTTTCTTGCACAGCTTAGGAGATTATAAACCAAAAATGAAGCAAAATCATTCTGACCTTTTCGTATTTACTAATTCTTCCAGCTCCTTTGACTTACTAGCTGCTTTCTTTAAAATTTCTCCAGGAACATCTGCTAGTTTAGCCACATTCAGTCCATAACTCCTTGCTGCAACTCCTCTGGTTATTTGATAGAGGAAAGTGACAAAATCAGGGACTTCTTCTTCATCTATAATAGAAAATTAAACAAAAATAAAGAAAGTCAAACCTGCAAGTTGAAAGAAATCAGAAAATTCATGTTACAAGTTTTTATATATCTCAGGGGCTTCAAAGAGTCAATTGTGAAGCTTCTGTGGAATCATAAGACTCTGCTTAGCCAAAACCTATCCTGAGAACAAGAAACTAGGAGGCATCTCGCTGCCTACTTGAATCTATACTATAAAGTCAGAGTAAGCAAAACATTGTGGTACTGGAATAAGACTCTCTGATAAATGGGTCAGAATAGAATATCCAAGGATAAACCCCCATATATAAGGCAGCTAATTTTTGACAAACAAGCTGAGAGCATGAAATGGAATAAAGACAGCCTTCAGCAAATGGTATTTGAAGAATATGGATAATCACAACCAAGAAATTAAAGCTAGATCCATTATCTCACACTTTACACAAAAGACAACCGAAAGTGGATCAAAGACCTTGAGATCAGACCTGAATCAATAAAGTACATGAGGAAAATACAGGCAAGAACACTCCAAGACCTACACCTTAAAGGAGTCTTCAACGATACGATACCATTGGCAAAAGCTACAGAATCAAAGCTAAACAAATGGGACTACATCAAACCTAAGATCATTCCTGGTGAGGTTTGGGAGCATATATGGTGTCAGTGATCAACCTCAGGTTGGTTGCATGCAAAGCAAGAATGTTACCTGCTCTATTATCTCTTTGGCCTGAGAATCATCATTTTATTCTGAAATTTATATAATTGCTACAATTAAATTAGCCTACAAAAATGCCCAAGATGAACCAGATGTTCAATGACTAGAGACCTGAATATGTTACTTATATATGTATTAAGGGACTTTTCTTTATAGTTTTTTATAGGCATAAAAATGCTGGGGATCAAACTCAGGGTCTGGCACATTCCTCCAAAACATCCCTTTCTGAAAGTCACATGGAGAGCAAGGCACGAAAAGGTCCATTCAGAGTTTCACGCCCTTCAGAGGCTTACTGATTAGTTCATTCTCTTTGGGGACAGTAAGACAAAAAGGGATATATTTTATTGGGCAAACTCCTTGTGAGCTATGTGTCAGCATTTTCTTTTGAGCATATATTTCTCAACAATGAAACTTCCAACCTTTTCACTGAATTTTAAAGTGGCTGGTGCTATCATTATTTGAGGTAAAGGTTCCAAGTTTCAATAGGCATTCTTCACTGAAAACCTTATTCTCATATATTATTTCACTTGATAAATGTGTCTACTTTGTCTTGTTCAGTAAAAAAGAAAATGCCCGAAGGATAATAAAAATTTCCTCTAAGAATCTGAAATAGAGCAAAAGTTCCTTTTAAAAGTGAATGCAGGAAGTGGAAGGTAAAAAGGAATGCTGAGACTCAGGGACAGTTAGCTAGAGTACAAACCATTATGATTAGTTTTCGGGTTTTTTTTTTTGCTTGTTTTTTGGGTTATACCCAGCAGTGCTCAGAGTTTACTCTTGGCTCTGTGCTCAGGGATCACTCCTGGGATGCTCTGGCGACTATATGGAGATGGAGACCGAACCAGAGTTGATCACATGCAAAACAAGTACTATCTGTATTATCTCTCTCATCCCAAAAAATAAAAAAGATTTTGTTTTGTCTATCTCTGTACTCTAGATTTTTTGTTTTATCTTCAAATAAAATTGAAGAAACAAAACAGGTGAGGAAGGGGATAGACTTAAGAAAGAAGTTTGTGGGGGCTGGAGCAATAGCACAGTGGGTAGGGCATTTGCCTTGCACATGGCTGACATCCCATATGGTCCCCTGAGCACCGCCAGGAATAATTCCTGAGTGCAGAGCCAGGAGTGACCCCTATGCATCGCTGAGTGTGACCCAAAGAACAGAAAAAAAAAAAGAAGTTTGTGGAACAGTGTTAACTATATTAGGAACAATATATATTAAATTGAATAAATTTTTGTTACTTATCAATCCTCAAGTCCAGAAGTAAAATGAACAACAGAGATAAAGAAAAAAAACCAAAACTCTTCTCGTTCATTTATTCATTTGGTTTTTAGGTCACGCCCAGTGGTGCTCAGGGGCTACTCTAGGCTCTATACTCACACATCACTCCTGGTGGTGCCTGGGGGAGCATATGGGATGCTGGGGATCAAACCTGGGTTGGCTGCATGCAGGCAAATGCCCTACTAGCTGTACTATCTCTCCGGCACCTCTTCTCTTCTTCTAGACGAAAAACAATTATCTTAATCACTCTATTTTAGTCCTTACTCACTTCTCTATATCCAGCCTCTCCTCTACAACTCAATCTTCATGCTGGTCTTTCTAAAGAATGATTCATTCATCAGACTTCTCTGTCCAGCCTTGCCTGCTATCCATCCACTCACCCATCTACCCATTCACCCTTCCCTCAAGTCCACTTCCGAAATGCTACCCACCCCCTTAAATGTTTCTTATTTGTTTGTTGCTTTTTCTCTCAATATACAACCCACATAGTCAAAAATACTTTGTATATGCAATACGTAAGGCTGCAAATTAGTTATAAAACATGTTTTTATGAATACTCATTAGCATACAGTTATGACTTTGCTATCATATGTTGGTTTCTATCATAGGATTAATAATGGTAATACTAGAAGGTGAGTTGCATGCCTACTCTTCCATAATCAACCAGGGAGTTTCTTTTTGAAGTTATGTTCTATTTCAAGACTCAGGGAGCCACAGAGATTATTAAATAGGCTGAGTTCATGCTTTGCACGCAGGAGACCAGGGTTCAAACCTCAACATCAAATATGGTCCCCCCAGACCCTGCCAGTAGCAACTTCCAAGCACAGTTGGGGTGTGCCATCCCCCACATAAAAGGACTATATGCCACTCTCCTTCATTGGAACGGGAAAGAAAGGAGTGAGGGAGAAAGTGAGTGTATGCATGTGTGATGAACATGCAGAGGAAGTGAAGGAGGAGAAAAGGCGGTAAAAACCGCTCATTTCTCTTGTTTTTGAACCTCATCCAGCTTTGTGCTTGGGAGTCACTCCTAGAAGTGCTGGGGAAAATGTGGTAGCAGAACTGAACCTGGTCCTCCTGCATGCAAAGTGTGTGCTCAGTCCTTTGGGTTAATTCTCTAGCCCCAACAACTGAATTATGTCCTCATAATAAAAGTTTTTCTTAAAATCTTCTCTTCTGTCTTTTTCTTCTTTTTTTGTTTTTGGGTCACATCCGGCAGTGCTCAGTGCTGAGCCCTAACTGTGCTCAGGAATCACTTCTAGTGAGCTGGGGGACCATATGCCAGGGATCAAACTTAGCCATGTGCAAAGCAAGCACTTTGACTGCTGTACTGTGTCTCCTAGTTTCTTTTTTTTTAAACTATGACTATTTCTTAAATGAGTAGTACTGAAATGTTTTCTTAAGTTTTTTTACTCAGTATCTGGCACTGAGTAAAGTCAGTGAATGCTGGAATTCATTGTTTCTGCTTATTACAAGGAAACTTGGAAATATTTGATTATTTTTTTTTTTTAAGAACAAGAGCTGGGGGCTGGAGCAATAGCACAGTGGTGGGGAGTTTGCCTTGTATGCAGCTGACCTGGGTTCAATTCCTAGCATCCCATATGGTCCCCTGAGCACCACCAGGAGTAATTCCTGAATGCATGAGCCAGGAGTAACCCCTGAACATTGCCAGGTGTGACCCAAAAAGAAAAAGAAAGAAAGAAAGAAAGAAAGAAAGAAAGAAAACAAAGCTGTCTCCACTTCTCCACTTCTCTTCCATTCCCTGTTGTTGTTAGGATCCAGGGTCAGACACCCTTGGTTACTGTGCTCATATACTTGGCTTTAGATGTATTGTCTGCCCACAAGCTTGCCAGTGGTCACACTTATTTAGTTGTGGTTGTCCAACACACTGGAGTGCTTGCTGGGGACGTCCTGGGCACATCCTTTAGCTGTGGTGTTCACCAGAGGTCACACTTACACACCTAAGTGGTATACTAGAGAAGTACACTGTTGTGAGGGCCCCAGACAGCGGAGTGCTGGAACCATACTTGGTGCACATGTGGGGCACCAGGGATCAAACTCAGGGCCTCAAACTTGCAAGAGAGGTGCTTCTAGTCACTGAGCTTAAACTCTGAGCTTCAGAAAAATTGACAGTTAATGTTCTCCAGGCACTTGGCACTTAGTGAAGAATTATGTGGTGATCTTGGAGGTGGGGGCTTAGAGTGTACACTTGGTGGTGTTCAGAGAACTGTATGTGATACCAAGATTTATACTAGTGTTTTGGACACAGTCACATGCTAGGCAAGTGCCTTTAGCTGTGAATCATCTCTGGCCCTTAAATCATTCTTAAATTCATCTTAGAACAGATTTATAAAAACTTAGAGGTGGATGAGACTACCTGACTTTCCTAACATTTTACAGCCAGAACATATTAATATACAGGTTCCTTCCTACTAGTTCACTGTCTAATCAGCCACACCAAGGAAACTAGACAGAGTACCATTAAAGTCTATCAAAAGGCATTTACATCTTACTACTGAGAAAGCCAGAAACACAGAGAAACCAGAAGGGAGATCACTGAGGCATGGATGAATATAACCAGAAATACTATTAGAAGGGAGTCGGTAAGGGACAATGATTCAGATTTCAAGTGAATATTGTTTTCAATATTAAATTTCAGTGCTAAATTATAAATGTTACGAATGTACTGTCACTGTCCTCCCACTGTTCATCGATTTGCTCAAGCGGGCCCAGTAACGTCTCAATTGTGAGACTTTGTTGTTACTGTGTTTGGCATATCAAATACATCACGGGTAGCTTGCCAGGCTTTGCCGTGTGGGCGAGATACTCTCCGTAGCTTGCGGGGTTCTCCGAGAGAGGTGGAGGAATTGAACACGGGTCAGCCATGTTGGCTGCGTTATGCAAGGCAAATGCCCTACCTGCTGTACATATTTTTATTCATGCAAAGACTTAAAATTTTACCTCCTTTAGTTGCTATAATTAGTATTGTATCTCACATCTATTCGACCAATAAGAAAACCCTGAATTTATAAGATATAAAACTTCCCTCATCCCTAGCAGTCTCACTCCAGGAACTGCTCTAACAATGAGCATGTGGATGAGACAGTTCAGTGGACTGGAGAATATACTTTGCTTGCCCCAGGGCCAGGCACTGAGCACCACCAAGAATAACTCTCAAGTACTGAGCCAAGAATATCTCTTGAGCAGTCCCGGGTTGTCCCAAATAGAGAGAATGCTATTATATATAATAACGGGCTAGAGAGATGGTACAGGGGTTATGGCATTTATCCTCCATTCCACTGACACAGGTTTAAATCCCTGACACCACATAAGGTTCACCGAGCACTGCCACAGGTCACTCCTGAGCACAAAGCCAGGAATGGCCCTAGAAGACCATCAGGTGTGGCCCAAATACCTACCAAAAAAAACAAACTGGGGGGGAGGGGGGAGAATGAACATGGGATTCATTTCTGAAAAGATGGGCCATGATGAGATGCTAGTGGGCACCTGAGAAACACTTCCTTGCTGCTAAGAGAGAGTCAAAGTAAATGCTGATCCCTTGTCTTCCTTTGTTAATTCTGCGAGGACTGTCTTGTCACTAGACTGATGCTGAAGCTAACAGGTCAGGAGGAGAGTCTGAAGGATAGCAAGCAGGAGTGGAAGCCCACTCTTCCGCTGAGGTTCCTGTAACGTGAAATTGCAAAAACTTATTGTTGGAGGCATTAGGAGACCAAGTATCGTCCTATTTGTAATCGCATGCACAGAAGAGAGAATAAGAGAATTTCTAGGACAAAAGAACAGGTAGGTCTAGGGATAATAACTGAGACCCAGGGATTGGAGAGATACTACAGTGGTATCTCTGTATACCTGTATACAGCCTATCTCGCATGCAGTCAACCCAGGTTTGATCACTGACATCACACAGAATCCCCTGAGCATAAAGCCAGGAGTAAGCACTGCTGAGGAAGGCTCAACAGCCAAACCACTCCAATACAAAACAACAATTAGAACACAGGCCTAAAGGGTCACTGTTTCAGATGAGCAGAGGGAGGTTATCAGTGGGGTAAAATGGAACTATTAGGCTCAGGCATGTGGGGAAATGTCCAGAATGCTGCTCTGCAGGGCTACTGGTAGAGACAAGAAGACTTAGCTAAAAAATAAATAAACAAAACAAGGCAATTATTACTTCAAAGTAAACAGAAACAGTTTTAAAAGAAAATACACTTGTCTCCAAACTTGGCTCTTGAACAAACAATACATACTGGCAGTAACTATAAATGATGAATATGAATGAAGCAAAAAAGGAAGCAGAAGGACTATCCTGGGAGGAGGGTGGAAGGGAAGGCTGAAGGCCCTCACTCAACACAGCGAGAAGTTGTCAATGGTGTATCATCCGGATAAGCCAACAGAAAGGAAAATGAAGCTTTGTATTTGAAATATGGAATGAAAGGATGAAAGAGTTTAAAGTGGCTGACTGGAAAGGAAGGGAGAGGAGGCCTGCTATGAAAGGGTGGGCAGGGGCTGGCCCCCTGCAAGCACGAGCCTTTTAGCATCATTTAACTGTAAAGTTATGTTCATAAATAAAAATTGAACTCAATAAAATCAAATGCCCAATCACTTAAGCTATCTATTAGGCTCTGAGTGAGTAATCAGTTCAGAGATGCTTTTCACTGAAATTTCTCTATGACAAACTATCTGCTCATCCCACTGGGCTTTAACTTCTAAACGCCCCTCTTTTTGGAGACAGACTGATATGAACACAACTGCTTCCATGAAGATTTATGATGTGTTTTTTGTGACTGCATGGTGGTGAAAAGCAAGACTCACTGAATTTATCTCCAGTTCTGTGCTTAGTTTTCATTTGGACCAGTTGTTTGATTTCTTTTTCAGATTCATTCTTAGAACTTTTCCAAAACAAAATTTGACCTCAAGTATCTTGGGAGAGTAGATTTTTCATGGCAGCACACCCATGGTGAAAAGTATTCCAGGCTCATGGATGGTAAGCTTAAAAAATTTACCACCAGGGTCCAGGGTAGCCAAGGCCCTTCTCTTTCAAGTATGAGGCTGATAGTTTGATTCCTGACATGGAGCCACATACATTGAGCAACACTCCAGCAATACCACAACCAAGTATAGGGCCTTTGGCATCCTACAACCAAGCCTGTGCAACCACCACAATTCAAGTGTGTGACCCTGGCAAGCACCATAACCAAGTGTGTGTGACCTCTAGTAATCACAGTGACAAGAAAGGGAAGGGAATTTTTAAAATTTAGCTGTTTTGAAAGTTACCACCAAGGGCAGGAGAGTTTGTATGGCAGGTAGGATGCTTGCCTTGCAAGGGACCAACATATGTTCAATTCCAGCACTGCATATGTTCCCTGCGCTCCACCTGAAGTGATCCCTGAGCACTGGGGCCAGGAGTAAGTCCTAAGTACCAATGGATGTGGCCCCCAAACAAAAAACACCAATTAAATTGCCATTAAATAGGGAAAAAATTATGCTAAAACCTGTTACATTACTGTTAGCACCTGAACTTTTTTCTGTTGACGAAGATCTTTTTCATGAACTGTCTCATTCAGGTGACTCTAGCAGTTAAGTGGGCAGGCTATGGAAAATGCTGCCAACACATGTGGCAGTTGCAGCAGATAAGAACCACCAGTGTAGGAAGAGAATTCTGATCGAGTTCAGACTCCACCCCGGTGACTGACACAAGAAGTGACATGACTGCTTCAGAGTCAGTTTCCCCAGTCAAATTAAGAGAAAATATATGTCCAGTATAGTATATAGCTCTTAGCATTCATGGTAAGCAATTTGCTTTGGGGAAAAAAGACCAACAGTGCTTTGAACTTAGCACAATTCCTGAGATGATTTTAGGAAGAAAATCTCTGACCCTACTTTATTCTTACAGAAAACTGAGATAAGAAATCCTAGAGGAGGACTCAGAGGTGGCAAGGATAAATGACAAAGTCTATTTCCCTGAGTCTGGAAAAAAAAAAGGAATCTGGACAGTTATTATTTACACTCAAATTCAGAGCTATTATTACAATATGCATTTATTTATTTAATTTATTTTTCAATGTAGGAGTACTGCTATTTATTCAGCCACTGATTAGCTGATTAAATTGGGCATGAACTCCACAATTTTGTGCCCTTATAAAGTCTGAGTTCTCATACATATGATGGAACAACGGTCCAGTTATTCTAGTTCATCTGCAGGAGTTTCATACCTGGATTGTGTTTGCTTTCATCCTCGTTGACCAAGAATCCCATGTGATAATTGCCCACTTGTTCCGAGTAACTGTTTTCTAATTCACAAACTGGAGGATAGTGTGTGACAAACAGGGTTAAGGATTTCACCTATAGTAAAGACAGATTTAAAAAAAAAAAACTTCCCTTATTTTTAAGTTTTAATTCAATCACAAATATATTCCAAATTTATTTGGAAAAATTTCAAGTTCTCATAAAAGCTGCAAGAAAAGTACAATGAATGCCCATCTGCTCTGTACTTAGTCAACCATTAATCTTTTTCCAGTCCCTGTTCCCTTTCCCTTCTTCTAATACTCTTTCTCTCTCCCCTTCCCTAAATCACTTGAGAACTGCAAACCCAGCATTTCATTCCTAAATATTTAATAATCTTTCCTTCTGAGAACAAAAATATTCCCCTACACAATTGGAATAAAATTACTAGATGCAGGAAACTTCCCTTTGCTCTATTATTGGGAATGCTAAATTTAATCATTTGGCCTAACTGAGTGCCCAGGAGATTTCTCCATAGTACTGCCACATTTCTCCTTTGTAATAAATAAATAGCCTATGGGGCGATGTTTTGTGAATATTCCTTTCTCCGAACAACCTTTCATCCAAAGGTTTTGCCATCATTAATCAGCCTTACTTGAATTATTACGATGCTGAGTTGAAGGAAAAACTCTTAATTATTAGTTGGCATTCTATAAATAAGAGCTTCCTCTCCACCCTTCCATTACTTTTTTTTTTCTTTTGGTTTATTTTCCTGGTATCAGCATGGATTTGCGATAAGCACTAGTTTAAAGCACATACGATTATTCTTAATACTAAATCCTGGCCTGAACTTTAGTAGAGGGGATAACTAAACCAAAGAACTCTGGTTTTGGTCCATCTCCTATTCATTTTATTAAAAGTCAGAACAAGTGCCTTGTCTTATAACTGGTATAAATAAACCTGACAAGGCAGGATTTCTTTGACAAGTTGATCTTAAAATCTGCCCTAAAAGATCTTAGGATCATATGTCTCCAAGGTGCTCATTCCCTGCACTGACAGTCATTTCCTGTGAAGAGACCTAAAGGTTTGACTATGGCACTGTTCTCCTCAAGGCAGCTGAGGCTGCAGAGGCAATTCCTAGGCTCTCTCATTCTTCTTCTCTGATCTCTCTTTCCTACATCAGCAATCAAAAGGCAGCATGAAGTTTAAGGTTTTCATCCATAAAGAGGTTAGGATCATTGCTCCTGAAGAACCCTCTTTGGTGAATTACATGGGGTAAATTTTACTGAAAAAATATTTTCTTCACTAGCATTTAAAAAGTCCAGAAACAGGTGCGAGAGATGGCTCAAAGGCCGAGCACATACTTTACATATAGATTCAAGCTTGATCCCCAGCACCACATGGTAACCTGAGCATCGTCAGGAGTGGTCCCTCAAAACAGAGCTAGGAGGAGTCTCCAAGCACTGCCAGGTATAGTTTAAACCGTCTTTCTAAATGTCTAAAAATAACTATAGAAGTTATTTTTAAATAGAAAATAGAAAAATAACATGTCTGTCAAAATTGGTTCCTGACAGGTTTGAAATATCACCAAACTGCTTTGGAGAGGCTTTTTGGAAATTCCAGCAGAACACAGCCACAAGCACGCTCTCAGCCAAAGGACAGTCTGTGCTATTTTAAGAAGGCCATCCTCACTGACCAAAAGTACTGGGATCTGGGAGGGACATATCTATAGTGCTGAGAGAAGGGATCACCCACATAGCTGATTAGGTCAGCAGAATTGATCAGGCAATCAACTGTCAGACTGCTCTCATATCCAGCCAAAATGCTTTTGGTAGTCAGCTCCAATGTGGTGCCAAGAATCTTGACTTCCAAGTCAAAAGGCATGCAAGACACTTACATCTCTAATAAAATACTCAAGTGTAGCATAAGCAATGGCGATTCCATCATGCGTGCTTGTTCCTCTGCCCAGTTCATCCAAGATTACTAAGGACTGTGATGTTGCTTTTCTTATTATTTCTGCTGTATCAGTCAGTTCTTCCATAAATGTACTCCGGCCTTTATATATATTATCAGCAGCTCCCATTCTGCAAGTCCAATGAAGACAACTTGATTATTCTCTAACTTAGGAAGGTAGGCAGTGTTCACTAAATTTTTTTCTTTTTTTTTTGGGGGGGGTCGCACCCGGCAATGAACAGGGGTTACTCCTGGCTCTGCACTCAGGAATTACTTCTGGTGGTGCTTAGAGGACCATATGGGATGCTGGGAATTGAACCCGGGTCGACCGCATGCAAGGCAAAAGCCCTACCGCTGTGCTATAGCTCCAGTCCCCTACTAAATAATTTTTTTAAAAATGAAGATACCCTACAAATTTATATGCCTTACAATAGCTGATGTTCAATTAAATGTAGAAAATATATGTTGGATATCAAAAGCGTGTTAACTTCAAAGTGCAGCGGGTAAAATGTCCAGGATAGAAATTCAAGGTATTTACCAGACAAAGTTCCTGAGAAGCAGAAAAATCTATGGTGCTGCCTTTTTCTAACTGATCATTCCAAACTTTAGTAAGGATCAGAGAGAAAAAAAGTTTGCATTTAAAATCCATGAGGAGGGGCTGGAGCGATAGTACAGTGGGTAGGGCATTTGCCTTGCATGCATCTGACCCGGCTTCGATCCCCAGCTTCCCATTTGGTCCCCTGAACACCGCCAGGAGTAATTCCTGAGTGCAGAGCCAGGAGTAATCCCTGTGCATTGCCTGGAGTGCCCCAAAAGCCAAAAATAAATAAATAAATAAAATTCTTAAAAACAAAATCCATTAGGATACTTGACAATTATAGATTTTCCCTATTGTTTCCTTGAGAACACTCCACACTATTACAAATTCAAGCACCACGTTGAGTGAACTTATTTATAATACTTTTGATTAAAGTTATAATTATTTAGTAATCTCCAGATATATAATGCAATATTCTGAAGTGAATGTCATGGAACACAGTTCACAGATATAGCAAGAATATCCAAATCACAAAACAAGAACAACAAAACAAAACAACAAAAAAACAAAAAAAAAGAATATCCAGCATCCCCCCCACCCCCTACCCCACACCCCAGTCCCACCATGCCTCTGTGGCAGGGCATTTCCCCTTGTTCTCTCTCTCTTCTTTTGGGTACTGTGTTTTGCAAGAGAGGCACTGAGTGGCAATCATGGGACCCGTAGTGATGGAGGATGGGCACTGGTGGAGGGATGGGTACTTGATCATTGTATAACTGAAACCCAAGCACAAAAATTTATAAGTCTATAACTGTACCTCATGGTGTTTCACTAATAAAAAAAAATAAAATAAAAAAATAAAACAGAATTTAAAGACTAAAAAAAAAAAAAGAATATCCAAATGTCCGAAAGATATAAGGCTTTCTTTACTGTGAGATGTTCTTGAGTCTTTGACATTTTACAAAACCCTAGAGAAGAACTACTGAGGAGCAACTTTCAAACTCATTTCAAAATAGGACCCCTGAAACTTCTCCCAGAGCACCTTGTGACATTTGGAGAAATGCCTGTTTAGCACAAAGAAAACTGGAGTAGGGAGGAATAACAGGAAAAATTAAGTAATACTCATGCAACAGTCAAAAAGTTAACAGCTACATCTAAAATTTGCGGTTCTGACCTGCTTTGTGATGCTGATAACTTTCTCCACACAATGGGTTTATCAATTGTTTTAAGAATTTGCATATGGTCTGCAGCACCCTGATAATACTCTTACTTCCTAGGACTCACTTCTGGTGAAACTGAGTTTTAGGGACCTCTGCTTACTTATACAAACACATCTTGAATGTGATGACTGAGTAAAGTTCATAGAAATGATTCAGTCTGAGGTCTGTAATCTAACTTACCCAGCACACAAAGCTCAAAAATAAACAATTTTGAAAATGCCTGAAATTGAAACAAACAAAAAACCTGATAATTTGTAGGAAAAGTTGTAGGGCGTAAAAGGACTTAGTAGCTGATGGGGCACTTGTCCTGCACACAGCTGACTGGAGTTCAACACCTAGCACCACAGACGGTCCTCTGTGTCCCCCAAGAAGTGTTCCCTGAGCACAGAGCCAGGAGGAGTAAACCATGAGCACCACCTCTGGGTGTAATCCAAACAAACAAATAAAAATTTCTATTTCCTTTCATGCCTTAACATAATTAGGATTAAATTTGCACACTGTTGCTAAATTTACTCTAAAAAACCATAAAATTACAGAATATATGACTAAAATAAGAATTTTTAATGGGATATCAAAATTATTATTTTATTTTGGAGCCACACCTAGCGATGCTCAGGAGTTACTCCTGGCACTGCACTAAGGAATTACTACTGGCAGTATTCAGGATCATACGGACATATAGAATAACAGAGATCAAACCCAGGTCAGGTACGTGCCAGGCAAATGACCTACCCGCTGAACTATCACTCTGGCCTTCAAAACTTAACTTTAAATAAGTTCCATGGAAAGTTTTTTCCAAAAACATGACACAAGTAACTAAAAACCCAAGGGCCAGGGAGATCATCTAAAGAGCTGAGTGCATTCTTTGCAGCAGGAGGTCCGAGTTCAATCCCCAGGACCATAAGGTCCTCTGAGCCTCTCTGGGAATAACTCCTGAGCCCCACCAGGTGTGAGTCCCCAAATCAAAAAAGCAAAAGCACCCAAAATGGTACCCAATCTCAACAGTATTAATTTGTATTTTCCAGTTGAAAACACTGCATTCAGGTACCACAGTATCTGAAAGGAAAATGAGAGAGAGAAAGAGAGAGAGAGAGAGAGAGAGAGAGAGAGAGAGAGAGAGAGAGAGAGAGAAAGGAAAAGTGTCTGCCATAGAGCATAGAGGCAGGCTATGGATGTGTGTGTATGGGGGGAGGGAGACTAGAAGGTGGGAAGCTGGGGACATCGATGGTGGGATACTTACACTGGTAAAAGGATGGGTGTTGTACAATGTATGACTGAAACCCAATCATGAACAGCTTTGTAACTGTATCTCACTGTAATTATATATATATATATTCTCACTGCAATTATATATACACACATATATGACCAATAAAAGTTTAAAATGCACTCAAATTATTATTTTCACAGTAAGCTATTTAATGAAGATAATTTTCCTATGCTATGCAAAAGTGTGCTACTAAAGTAAAATGTTTTCCAATGCTGTCTTTATTTTTTTTATTAAAAATTTTTTAATAGTGAGACATCATGAGGTACAGTTGCAGACTTACACATTTTTGTGCTTGGGTTTCAATTATACAATGATCAAACACCCATCCCTCCACCAGTGCCCATTTCCCACCACCACGGATCCCAGTATCCCTCCCACCCCCCATTCCCCCTATCCCACCCTCTCTCTGTGGCAGGGCATTCCCCTCTGTTCTCTCTCTCCTTTTGGGTGCTGTGGTTTGCAAAAGAGGCATTGGGTGGCAATCATGTTTGGTCTATAGTCAACTTTCAGCATGCTTCTCTCATCCTGGGAGGATCCTCCCAACACCTTTATTTGGTGTTCCCCTCTTTATCTGAGCTCCCTTTTTCCCTAGTATGTGTGGTTGGCCTCCAAGTCATGGAGTAAAGTTCCTGGTACTAATCTTGGCCATTCTTGGGTGTTAGTTTCTTATTTTGTTACTTTATGTTCCCCAGATGAATGCAATCTTTCTATCCCTTTCTTTCTGAGTCATTTTACTTAACATGATACTTTCCATGTAGTACCACTTGTATGTAAATTTCATGACTTCATCTTTTCTAACAGCTACATAGTACTCCATTGTACCAAAGTTTCTTTAACCAGTCATCTGTTCTCGGGCACTCAGGTTTTTTCCAGATTCTAGCTATTGTAAAGAGTGCTGCAATAAACAGGCAATTGCAGATGTCACTTCAACTATACTTTTTTGCCTCTCTGGGATATATTCCCAGGAGTGGTATTGCTGGATCAAATGGGAGCTCAATTTCTAATTTTTTTTTCTTTTTGGGTCACACCCGGCGATGCTCAGGGGTTACTCCTGGCTCATGCACTCAGGAATCACTCCTGTCGGTGCTCAGGGGACCATATGGGATGCTGGGAATCGAACCTGTGTTGACCATGTTGGCTGCATGCAAGGCAAACACCCTACCCGCTGTGCTATTGCTCCAGCCCCACAATTTCTAATTTTTTGAGAATCATCCATACTGTTTTCTAAAAGGGCTGAACCAGTCGGCATTCCCACCAACAGTGAAGGAGTGTCCCTTTCTCACCACATCTGCACCAGCACCGGTTGCTTTTGTTCTTGTGGACATGGGCCAGTCTCTGTGGTATGAAGTGATATCTCATTGTGGTTTTGATCTACATCTCCCTGATGATTAATGATGTGGAACATTTTCTCATGTGCCTCTTAGCCATTTGGATTTCTTCTTTGTGAAAGTTTCTATTCATTTCATCTCCCCATTTTTTGATGGGGTTGAATGTTTTCTTTTTGTGGAGTTCAACCAGTACTTTGTATATCCTTGAAATTAACCCCTTATCAGATGTGTAGTTGGCGAATATCCTTTCCCATTCTGTAGACTGTCTTTGTATTTTGGTCACTGTTTCTTTTGAGGTGAAGAAGCTTCATAGTTTAAGATAGTCCCATTTGTCACCCAAGAATGGCCGAGATTAGTACCAGGAATTTTACTCTATGACTTGGAGGCCAACCACACATACTAGGGGAAAAGGGAGCTCAGATAAAGAGGGGAACACCAAATAAAGGTCTTGGGAGGATCCTCCCAGGATGAGAGAAGCATGCTGAAAGTTGACTATAGACCAAACATGATTGCCACCCAATGCCTCTTTTGCAAACCACAGCACCCAAAAGGAGAGAGAGAACAGAGGGGAATGCCCTGCCACAGAGACAGGGTGGGATAGGGGGAATGGGGGTTGGGAGGGATACTGGGATCTGTGGTGGTGGGAAATGGGCACTGGTGGAGGGATGGGTGTTTGATCATTGTATAATTGAAACCCAAGCACAAAAATGTGTAAGTCTGCAACTGTACCTCATGATGTCTCACTATTAAAATAAAAAAAAAAAAGGAAAGATAGAAA